CTCTCTCTCTCCTCTCTCTCTCTTTCTCTCTCTCTCTCTCTCTCTCTCTCTCTCTCCCTCTCCCTCTCCCTCTCCTTCCGTTCCCATCCCCCCTTTCTCTCGTCTTCACGTCCTCACCAGCCCCTCACTCACCCCCGCCCCTTTTTTTTACTCCCCTCCCCCTTCCTCAGATGCCACCCCAACTGCACAGCTCCGCCCCGCACCATGTTGCTAAGCAACACAGGGGCACGCTCCACCCTCAATGGCGTCTTCACCGCGGCGTTTATCCTCATCGTCATCATGGCGGCCGGCCAACTCTTCACTGCACTTCCCATCGCAGTCCTTGCCGCCATGATCATGACAGCTGTGAAAAACCTGCTCCTACAGGTAGAGTTTTCGTTGTTGCTGTCGTTGTAATCGTTGTTGCTCTTGTTACTGTTGTTGTTGTTGTAATCGTTGTTGCTCTTGTTACTGTTGTTGTTGTTGTTGTTGTTGTTGTTGTTGTTGTTGTTGTTGTTGTTGTTGTTGTTGTATTTTATTTGTTTATATTTTTGGGTCAAAGTTTTGCCCTTTTACAGTCTATACCGGCGTCTAAAGTGTACGTCAAGGTGTCGAAATTTACTGCTTTCCTGCTGTGTACCCTTAATATGACGTTTGTACACTATGGATAAATAATAATATGCTTATGTGAGTGAGTTGTGTAGTTGTAAAATAATATATGTTTTGTGTGATTGTGCGTGAATGTAATGAATGAAAACAGTCTTATGTTGATACTTCCTCGTGAATCATTAAAGCTAACCTTACCTTACCTCATCTCACCTCACCTCACCTCACCTCACCTCACCTTACCTCACCTCACCTTACCTCACCTCACCTCACCTCATCTAACCTCGCCTCACTTCACATAACCTCACCTCACCTCACATGTCCTCACTTGACCTGACCTGACCTCACCTTGCTTTCCCCCAGGTGACTCAGCTTCCCAATCTATGGCGTGTGAGCAAACCAGACTTCACCATCTGGCTCAGCACCTTCCTGGTGGGCGTGTTCGCTGACCTAGATTACGCTATTATCGCAGGCATAGGACTGTCAGTCTTCTCCGTGGTCGTCTTCAGCCAGATGACGTCATCGACCGTGGGTGGAGTCTCGCAGAAAGAGGATCTCGTACTCTCTAACAACAGGGCCGGGGTTAAGAATCTTTCTGGGGTGAAAATTTTCTATTTCCCTGCCCAACTTTATTTTGCCAACGCCGAGAAATTCAAGAACGATCTTTACGGGAAAGTATTGAACCCCGATAATGTTGAGGTGAACGCTATTGTTGAGAGCGATGTGGTCCTGACCAATTTTGCCGAAAAAGACAAGGAAGGCGTGTCTAATGGCAACGGAATTGCCAAAAAAGGAGCTGAAGGGGAAACAGTCAAGGCCATTATCATAGACTGCTCGGCAATGACGTACATAGACTTAGCTGGCGTCAACATAATGAAGCTGATCTTTACCAAGTACAGTTCAGTTGGGGTCAAAGTGTTCCTTGCGAGGTGTCCGGATTACCCATTGGGTGTCCTTGACCGCGCTGGTTTCTTCGTCAATGTGTCACGTGACTGTATTGTTGTAGATGTCTATGACGCCCTCAGTGCCCCGGAAGTGGAAGCGGTGAGTGGCTGGGGCACCCGGAAAACTAGTGTCAATGGCTTGAATAACGACACTATCCATGCCCGCTTTTGATTCAGAGGTTCCGATTATCTGGATATGACCGGAAATCCGGATTTTTGAAATTGTCCACATTTTGCCCCACTTCTAGCCGACTATATAAAGATAGTCTTGATACACTTTGAAGTAGACAAAATTAAGATCTATAAATGTTGATTCCCTGCGTTTGCGTTTCCACAGGGTACGAAAAGTTCAGGATTTGTTTTCGTTGCCAGTTGGCACCTCTGTTGATTTATTGTAACTTCGAAGAATTCTAAAAGACATTGGGGTTTTTATCTGTGGTATTACCAATGATAGTAGATGGGCCACTTCTCTCTTTGAGCCAATTAAAAAAATGTCCTCAAAATTTGGTGGCGCCCTCTTCACAAAAGCGCACTCTTTGCGAACAGAGTTACCCTACTTGAGTTTTAAAAAATCAAAGTGAAACTAGCAAGTTTTGGGATAAATTTCGGAAGAACGCTTTTTTAAAATGGTTACGCTGACAAAAAACCTCTTCCGGAGGAAAGGGTGATGGTTTTCTTCGTTTAATTTGACTTAAGAATGAAAGGCGAGAGGTCATTAAAATTTAAAAAAACTAAAACTCCAAACTGAACGTACCCGAACTGCTGATGAACAGCAGTCGATCTGCGCACGCAAGGAGGTGCTATTCCTATTCTTCTTCTGGAAAAACGAAAGAGAGCTTCAAAACAGACTGCAGCGCCATCTGAAGCAAAGAGCATACTTCCTGCGGACACTTTTTTGGCTGAGTGGCCCATCTTGTTATTCACTATCTTTGGTATTACTTCAATTAATCAATTTGCTCTTCTTGTGCTTC